TTTTGAGTTTTCTGATGCAATAGAACATACTGACCACCTATTTGATCAAGAAGTGAAACAATGCGTTCAGTCGAGTCTGTTAGATCAATAGGACAGTATATACCATTAGCACTTAAAATACCATAGCAGCGACAGATCATCTCTAAACTTGGTTCGACAAACTGGTAAATGATCTGTCCTTGACCAATGTTTTGCTGATGTAGATAATTTGCTACACGTTCGACGTTTTCGATCAATTCACTAGAGGTCCACGCTTGCTCATCAAGCACTACAGCAATTTTTTGAGGATGCAATTGTGCAGTACTAACCAGCTGGCGTAATACGTAGAACGAACACGTCATATTTATATAGGTAAGTTTAAAATGAGAAGTTTATGCGAAAAATCTGAAAAGAAAATTTTGACAGATTCTGTATAAAATATAAAAATATGAAGTTTTCAATATAATTATAAGTGGAAAAATAATCGATGCAACTTAGACATGGCTCGATAGTTCAAAGCGTTCATCCTATGCTATTTTTCTCTTTACTGTACTGTATAAACAGAAAAATGATAAGCCTTGCAAGTAGGGGTGCACCAAATCCTATTTTTCTACATAAAGTTTGTAAAATTTCGTCTTGAAGATCCACCAAATCCAACCAAATCTTTGTGTCAATTATAACCAGTTTTATTTGCTCTACTCGATAATGGTGTAAAATGACCAAATCCAACCAGGATACTTCTAAGATTTGGTAGGATTTGGTAAAAACTGTCACATTTTCACCAAATCTTACCAAATCTTAGAAGTGTCTTGGTTGGATTTGGTCATTTTATACCATTATCGAGTAGAGCAAATAAAGCTAGTTATAATCGACACAAAGATTTGGTTGGATTTGGTGGGTCTCCATACCGAAAATTTACAATCTTTATGTAGAAAAATAGGATTTGTTGCACCCCTACTTGCAAGAATCACTAAACTATTAATTGATCGAGCAACGGAAAATGAAGAATTACAAAGTTGGCAATTCAGAACGAATTTACGAGGTGAAGAAGTCATTAAGGCCGTTATTGCACTTGTTGGACAAGAAATCTCGAAACAAATAGTCTGTCATGATCCAATTCAAAGTAGTCACTGTTGTAAATATCTTTATCTCGAATGTTTTCTTTTCAGCGTATCACTGCCAAAACTATAAAACTGATAGAGTGAACATCAGCATTCAAATTTAATTATATCATCATCCATCTTTTATTTATTATTATCTTTAAGTGTTAGATAATGAAATTGGAAAAGGGACATTTCGCACTAAACTTTCATTACGAACCGTAGTGGTATATGTTCTTACGATCACCTGAAACATGAAAAAAGGCAGTTTTCGGTAGTAGATATATTGTAGTTCGGGATGAAAAAAAAGCAGTCAAAATTAAAAAAACAAGCAATTTGTAATGAAAGTTGTCCAGAAGATCGTAATGGACGGCGATGGTAGATTTTGACAGACAAAAACTTGAAATTGACCTGGATTTCGAATTGAAAATGACCGGGAGACAGTAACCATAAAGACAGTGAGTCGTTATGAAAGTTAAGGCAAATGAGATACCCCCCCCCCCCCCCAGAATAAAAGGGCATGCCCTTATACAGTGTCTTGGCACATCGCTACTTTTTGGATGGCCTTCTATTGAGGGTCAATTTTTGGCCAGTTTTTAATTAAAATAATTTAAAAAATTAATAATTAATTAATATCTTTAATTATTGTTTTTTAGGTGTTTTTTGCTGAAAAAACTACCATTTTTTGTAAAAACTGTACTATTTATGATAGGAAAGGAAGGATTTCGCAAAAAAACATTAGAAAATCGGTTATATTTCCTTAATTATTAATTAATATTTATGAAAATTTCATTAATTTTGGAATATATTAATTAATTAGTACATGGCCTTCTAATAGGGCGTTTGAACTTTTGCTCGGACATGGCCTTATACAGGGGGTGGCCTTCTAATATAGGGTGGCCGTCTATTTGGGGGGGGGGGGGGGGGGTTAGTGAATGTTTGAAGATCATAATGAAAACTGCAGCGAAATCTTAATGAAAAAAGACAGCTTGTTCGAAACTGTGCTCATATTTGCTCTTATTTGAGAGATGTTAAATGACTCAACAGTTTTTATTTTAAAAGGTACACATAGAATGTCCTGATGAATTCAAGCAGTCAATATTTCTATTGTTGTTATACTTCAACTCAAGTGCTTGTATTTATCATTATTATTCCTTACGTATACATCCTTTTTTTTACGAAAGCCAAGACTTTTGAAAGAAAAAATGTGTTTATTTATTATTGTAGATGAATGAATCCGATTCTTCAATATACGAAAGACAGAAAAGTCTTTGCAACCGTTATCAATATCAGAATGAATCCGTTACGATTTTCTAGAAAATCGTATGATGAACCGGTCGGTCAGTTTCATTACGATCTTTATACTTTTTCTTACGAGAAAATATCCTTAGAACTTTATTCCGAACGTTAGATCTTTTTCATCCCGATCTCCAAACGCTATATCACATGTAGTAATGAGTATATCATTCCAAATTTCTAGTCACACTCTTCCGATCTTCTTGTTTTTTTCAATACGATGTCCCGTCAAAGATTTGTTAAGGATAAAAATTATTTCCGAACACTCGAAAATATGATAGACGTCTGACATAACTTACTGCAAAATGTTCGTCATTCATGAAATCGTATGAAAATTTATTTATTTAGCATTTTTTCACTCGATTTTTATATAAACATCATTAGGTTCACTAATACTATCCTGAGCGAAGATTTTGTGCACTAATCAAATGTTCATCAAGCATATATAAGAGTTATGGAATAAATCTATACTACACTATTATTTCATTTTGTTTCAATAACATAACTAGACATGGAAGTCAATGACTATAATGTATTAATTATACTATGATAAATTTTTACTTCAAAGAACAAAATGATGCATGTTCCTACACAAACATAATGCTCGAGATCAGTAAAAAATGTTTGATTTGCGAGAAGAATCAATTTTATGATCAATTTTCCCCAAATAGAAACTGAAACCAATCGTTAAAGAATTCTCTACCTGACCAGTCGTTTACTGTTGTCGGTTGCAACTCTGGTATATAAGAAATGAAAAATACATAAATAAATAAAATAAAAATTTCATGTCATTCCATTGTCTTATAATTAAACTTAATAATCAATAATAGATAAATGATGATTGAATTAAACTTGAATGCTGATATTAACTTTATCATTTTTATTCTCACCTTGTAATACATAAAAAACCATAACTAAACCAGATCGCTAGATACTTTCTATCGATCTGGTTTATAACATCATTCCAAGTGTATTTTTAGGAGAGAAGAAAACTTCAAGTGTAACTCGGTTGCGATTAATGACATAAGAGTGATGTAATTCACTACAACGATATAGTTAACTGTAAAATTATTACGTTGCCATATGTTTTTGTTTGTAATACAATATTGTAACATATGGTTCGAAGCATTGTGTAGCCCAAGATTGTAAGTATTAGATATACCAAGAGAGAATGACTACTCTCAAATGCTTTTGTAGTTATTCGAGTCTATAAATCCTCTTGATATGCTCAAAATATTTCCTCGTTAGTTTAGAAGGTTGCAGAAAATTTACCTTCCTATTAAAAAGAGTCATTCTATCCACTCACTGAGATATGTATACAAATGGCATTAAAAAAAACAATATGGGACCGTTTCGCACATAATATTATCTAACATACGAAACTCACTTCAACACTCACATTTAAAAAGAGGATACATATTGAATACCAATAGAATGAAAATTACCTTACCGTAAATTGCACATTTGATATACGTGCAGATTCGAATGCAAACATACAAAAGTCAATTTTCAAACACAACGAATAAGAAACAGACACACAAATGAATGCATAAATAAAGGACAGATTGTATTTCGTCTATCAATCGATAAATCATGCATTTGTGAGCGTCCTTCTTGTCGTCGTATGTATGATTGGTAAAAGCACGTGTAACAATGATAAAGGCTCGTTGATTTAATAGAAAAAAATCGGCTGTTCTGTTTATCAATCGACTAATGATGTATCTACCTTCGTCTTTGTACACATTTGAGGATATAATCTAAGAAAACTAGATGGTATTCGAGTTTCGACTCGAATACGAAATGCGGTACGAAGCACAGATTCGAAAATCGAAAAAGAACTATTTTCTTTACAAAATGAATGATATTTTTTCCGATACCGATTAAGTCTATTTTTGACCTAGTTTTGTTTTGATATATAGTATTGTTTCATCTTTTTTTTCGAACTAAAAAATTAGAATAATATAGTTGTGCAGTTATAATATTCAATTCATTGATTCATTTAATTTTATTTAACACAGTTAAGGTATCAATTTTTCTACATATAAAGTTTTAACACAATGTAAAAAAAATTAAGTTTATGATAGTTGAAGTAATAAAGTTGGTCCTTGTAAATATATTGATTTTGTATGACGAAAAGATGTTGCATGATTTTCTATTTATTTTAAAGCTTCACGAAACAAGTTAGTTCTAAAACATAAAAAAAATTAAGAAATAAAGAAAAAACATTTTTTTTACCCGTTTGATCAAAAAAATGAATACCCAGGTCGAAAAGTTCCGGCCGGACTACTGCTTCCATGTTCCGGCTATTTCCGGTGTTTTCCTGCAGGATACGGTGATTTTTCCCGCATTTTCCTGCCGGTTCCTGCAATATCCGGTGGCCAGAACGATCGACCTGGGTATGAATCTTTTTTTTTGTTGCTGATCATTCGTTTTTTTTTTGGAATTTTTTTAAATTTTGCAATACTATCAATATTGCGTTTTATAATGCTGATATTGATAGCTTCAAAACCTCGCGATGCTATAAGTAAAAAGATTATTGAGTATTGTAACTATGTGTAATAGATAAAATATAATTTACTTTTTTTTATATCGAATTTACACTGATCAGAAATGAAAAATATTTGTTTATGTTGATTTTTGTTTTATTGAGACGTCATGTGCAAATATATCTTGATGTAAAGCATTATCATTTCTAAATCAAATAAAGGTTTTTAGAAATTATTCAAATTAAAACGAACCTTTTAATAAATGCATAATGCTTTAATCTGTTAACAGTAACAACTGTATCGACTATGTTTTTTTCTAAAGTAATACGTAATAGTGTAAGTTAGTCTTTATATTTGAAGAATGTATTACCAGTAATAATACAATTTGACGCCGATATGTCTGTTGAAATGGATTCAGATGATGTTGATGTTGATGTTGATGTTGATGTTGATGTTGTTGTTTCAATTTTATTTGAAAAGGACAGGGGCGCATAAGAACAGGAATCGGCCCACGAACCGATTCTCATAAGAAGTTTCTTTTCCGATGCAGAATTTTATGGCGAATCTTTTGATGCCAAATTTAATACATTTTCGAAATCATTTCACGCCTTCCGGCCCATGCCTAGTATACCCTATTTGTACCCAGTGCAGAACGGTTACGTTTGTCAAAACATAATTTGATAAAGCTCAAGATAGACTCATCTGAAAGAGCGTAAAATTCTGCAGAAAACCGTATATGAACTAACTAAAAATAATCAACATCAGTAAAAATTCCGAAGCACATACTA